GCTGAGTAGAACAATCAGGGAATAGGGCCGGGAAGGTGTGGCAGGGTGTTTGGATGTGGAAGGGAGGCTGTCCGCTAGGAAGTATGGAGGGTAAAGAGTTGAAGAGGAAGTTGCTGCAACGAAACAGAGGCAGCTACGTAGGGGGAAGCGGTTGGGGATGGTTAGCAGCTAAGAGAAGTAGAGGAGATGAAGTAGGGAAGATAATGGGAGATGCAATCACCATCTCGGAGTAGGATACAATCTGGGATATAGCCGGAGCATCACCACCTCCTCGGATACAACCCACAAAGGGAAAAAGGACTTAGAACTTCACACAGGAATCTGAAATCAACATACAACAAAAAACTAACCCTACAATCAGAGAACAACTACTTATAGATTCTTACATGAAGAAGAAAATGAAAGAACTAAAGGAAGCTCTCACGCAAAAGAAAAGGGGTGAGGAGGAAAGAATGAGCCATTAAAATACTTCCATATGAAAAAGAGTAAGAAGCAGAGGGAGGAGAAGGGCGCGGGAGGCCACTCGCCCTGCCAGAGCTCTCGCCCGGGACACTCGGCTTGGGATACCCTTAACTAGATGGGTCAAACCGATACCTTGCTTCTGCCTGCGCCCTAGCATCCACACTCGCTTCTGTGCAGGAAATCTCACACCGGCTTCTACGCAAAAAGCCCCGCGTCAGTCTCCTGGGATTGGGGGAGCTTCGACCTCATTCGATGAAGCATCTGTTGATACATGGATGGTGAGGGAGCTGCTGTAATCTTTCGGGATGGATGGGTCATCAACTGTAATCCTAGTAGGTCGATCTAATAGGCATTGTTGTTCCAAAGCACATTCTGGAAGAACGGGTAGTCATCCTCTTTTGACACATTTTGAGCGGAAGCTGCATATAAAGGAAGGTTCTCGCAATGCAACTCTCGAGCCCCTATATTTGAAATCTTCTCTTACCACTTCTCGTTCCTAGCGTGTGGTGGTTGAAAAGATTGTGATGAGAACTCAATTCGGGGATGTAATCTGTGGCTAGTTGTGTCACTCTCACTAGCGACCACTCAGGAGCATCTTCAGTGATAGGACCTGGATCCCATTGAAGAATTTTCATCCCCTCAAGCACCTAAGACACTTTTCAATGCTGACGGTCATCCCTCTTGTCTGGATATCTACTGATGGGCATCTCACTAAGTTGAATTTAACATCTAAAATACTCCTCGTAGTATTCCAGGCATGACACAAAATGAATCATCTTCAAATATGTTGGACCTCCCCTCGTAGGGATAACTCAAGAAGAGACCTATCCATTTGAAAAGTTGTATTTCTCTTATCCGTAGTGGCCTTGTATCTGATGTCGGCTGCTCAAGCTCGTGATCCTTTTGGACCACCTAGGTCAGTCCTGTTGTAGCTCCTCTTAATGCCTCTGAAACGATAACTTTAGGTACCACAGTTTCATACTCTGCTTGATCGCTCGTTACATTGAGCTCACTATCTTCCAGAATGACTACTGTGTAGTTGTAATCTCTATCTCGGAGTCCACTGGAACCAGTGGCGTCTCTTCCTCTCTAGCTGCAAGTGGAGAATCTTCTTGAAAGTCTTCATTTTCTCCAGAACCAACTGTGTCATTGCCCAATATTTTAATAACACCCTGCTTAGTGGAACAAATCTCTTCCTTGGTGGTGCATTCTTATTCTACATGCCCAAATTCGTGGCACTTACAACACTGCCTGACTATGACGGATTTAGGGATGCAGCCCGGTCTTCCATGTTTTTCACTCTGAACCAGTTTGTCCTCTAATGGGGTCATCTTGGGTGTTCCTTTGAGTGCACTATGGCTATAAGATCTTGAGCTTGACCCCTGCCTCTAAGATGTGGGGGTTGCTTGGTGGTGTGAAGATAAAGTCTGAAGTTTCTGTCTGTTTTAAACTGGTATGAACTAGTACTGCGTCTCTCGCTTGATCCTCAGATTCTCTCGTTCTCTCCTTAGGCTCTTCCAATCACGATTGAGGATAACCTCAGTGAATTTTATCCTCAATGTCTGTAATCCATCTCCAAAGTTGGTGGATCTCTCGCCGTATCTTCTCGCGGGAAGGGTCAGGCATGTATCTCATTAGTGGCATGACTAAGGTTTGAGTTGGGAGGTGAGAGGTTTAAAAATTTAACTTAAGGTTTCTGATTTTGAAAATCAACAAGAGGAATTGAGGATTAGGTCAAAGTTTTTTTGCTATGCTTGGGGATAAGAAAGAACAAAATTTTTTGTGGAGGTGGCTTGGGTGGGGCCGTATTCTAGGAAGCTTTAAGATGAGAGTAGGGTTGGGCTAGCTCCGATACCAAATGATACCGTAGGAGAAAAAACCTAAACCACAAAAAAGAACAAAATTTTTTGTGGAGGTGGCTTGGGTGGGGGCGTATTCTAGGAAGCTTTAGGATGAGAGTAAGGTTGGGCTAGCTCCGATACCAAATGATACCGTAAGAGAAAAAACCTAAACCACAAAAGCAACTTTTATTAGGAAAAGAGGGTTACAACACACGAATTGGAAATAACATCACCAAAACACAAACGAACACCTCAAGTGTGTATTCCAAGGGCAATGGAGGCTGGTTGGAAGGTGGGACAACAACTGGGAGCAATGGGATGGCAATTGGGTCGGCTGGCTGTTAGGAAAAATGGAGGGGAAAGAACGGGACAGTAAGGGGTTAGGGTCGGGAATGTGCGATAGGTGGCTGGATGTGGCAGGGAAGCTGATGGCTAGGAAGTATGGAGGGGAAAGAGCTGGACAACAAGCTGTTGCAGCGGAAACGGGGTCGATAGTGCAGGGGGGAAGCGATTGGGGATGGCCTGTGGCTAAGGGAAGTAGAGGAGACGAATTAGGGATGATACAATCACAACTTATGATACAACCGGAGGACCACCACCTCATCAGATACAACCGGAGTACCACCATCTTCTCAGATACAACCCACAACAGGAAAAAAAAAGCAACTTATGATACAACCGGAGGACCACCACCTCATCGGATACAACCGGAGTACCGCCACCTTCTCAGATACAACCCACAACAGACTCCACACATGAATCTAAAAGCAACATACAACAAAAAAACTAATCCTACAATCAGAAAACGATAACTTATAGATTCTTACATGAAGAAGAAAAGGGTGGAACTAAAGAAGAAAGCTCCGACACAAAAGGAAGGGATGGGGAGGCAGAAAATAACCATTAAAATACTTCCATATGAGGAAGAGGCGGAAACGGATGGAGGAGAAGGTCACAGGAGGCCGCTCGCCTTTCCAAAGCTCTTGCTTGGGCCGCTTGGCTCGGGTTTCCCTTGGGTTGTTCCTCAACTGAACCGCCCTTGCTTCTGCCTGCTCCCTAACATCCACACCCGCATTAGTGCAGGAAATCTCGCACTTGCGTCTTCGCAGGAAAGCCCCGCGTCATGAAAGTTGATGTCCTCTCTAGGTTACTTGGTTGTTTTAGTACAACTTTAGTATTACTATTGTTTGCAAGGGTGGTTTGACCTTAGGACAAAGGTCTAACTATGTGACTTCGATCTAGAGTCTTAAGTGGTGTTTACGAATCAACAAATGATAAAAGGGGGTTTGTAAGATAATGAGGGGGAAAATTGAAAACAAAATTGGATTTTGAGGCAAATGGGGGTGACAACTGTCTTTTTGAAAAGCAATTGAAGGAAAACGACCGACAAAGATGTTAGAGGTTACGAATATCGAGGAGAATCCAACACCTATTTGCAAAAGAAAGGATGATAAAACACTCAATAGAGAAAAAAACCAGAGAAAATAATTTTAATTCTATAAAAGACCAAAACTATAAGTCCTCAACTAAGTTCCACAACAACATATATTAGTCCAAGCAAAATAACCCTAATAAAATTGTGTGAACCAATTCTTTTTTCACTAGTACGTCTTGGATGGATGAGGGAGATGCCTATGTCATTATTTGTCTTCTTGTCACACACTGTAAGAACCTGTACTATTCGATCCTTGCAATGGTGCCCAAGAGAAAACTTCCCATCACACAAAAATTATAGCCCCTTGGTTTGCCTATCCTGGATCTCTGTAAGGCACTTGAAGTTGACTTATGGATGTGTCCCCATATTCTTCTCCTCTGGCTTCTCCCCTAAAATGACACCATCCGGATTCTCGGTGTCATGACCTTCGAGGTATTCTTATAGTTTATTTCATAGTGCCGCTTTGCTGGTCTTCTCTATCTGGTTCTTGTTCTCCACTTATGGGCTAGCTCCATTGTCTCTTTCAATCCCCTTGGACTCAATAGTCGAAGCGCTGCTCGTATGTCGGGCTCTAGGCACTTAATGAAATTCTCCTCCAACCATGCTTCAGAAATCCTCCCTCAGCCGTTTCAACAAGAGCTCGAATATCTCTTTAGATTTCATGACAGTCCCCTCCTGAGTTAAGACGTAGAATTGCTCGTATAAGTCTTCTTCCTGAATGACTCAGAAACGTTCTAACAAGCAATTCTTAAATTCATCTCATGATCGGATCGAGTATCTAGCCACCCTCTACAGAAACCATGCTACAAATTTCCCATCAAAACATAACCTTGCTGTCATGTCATGAGTTTCTACCATTTAGCTCATTCACCGCAAACATCGCTTCACCCGGTACACCCATCCATGTGCATATTCCTCTTCAAA